AATAATAGCCCCACCTGAATCGCCTCTCTTAACTCAACCTAAGTTTAAAAAACCAAGCCCAACACAACCTAAGCCTATCTTGAAACACCAACCAAAACTATTTCTTTCCCTAGCTTATTTAGCTATGTTCCCTCTTTACTTGTTCTTTCTTTCCAACCATAGCGACCACAAACCGATAGCTTACAAATTTTCCTTATCAAGTATCTTAAACACTCGGCATTGGAATTCTCATAATTTGTCACATTATTGTTTAGTTGACAACACACCAAGGCTAGTGCGTGATTAAGGTTGCAAGCCATTAGGTATTACATGATGATAGTGATAAAGTCACTATCATCGTTTGTTTTTGAACATCACTAGAGTACAATCAAAGTAAATTGGAACGGATAATGTAACACCCCTAACCTATGACCTAAATAGGTTAAAAATATTACCATCATTGACCTACATTCAAAGTGTAATAAATGTAAGCCAACAAGGCACTATGTCTATCCTATTGTGTACTAGGTATGTGTTATGCTAGAAAAGCCTATAAATGACGAGTAGGTCCAAGATTTTAATCCAAAATGTATAATTAAATTTTTCTATTTTAATATTTTATTTTACTGGTTTGGATTGAATTGATCGGATCCGTGACGTTTAGTTTTGTCAAATTCTTTTCCTATAAGCATGTAGAAATTTATTTAGTTATTACCCGTTATTCGATAATTAATCCTTTTTACTTTTATGGTCATTTCCTTATTAATTTAATGGTCACATTTTATTATTAATGATAGCATGCAAGTCATTAATTAATAGAAAACTACACTACTTATTGTTATGTTATTACCTTATTACCGCCATGTCCAACATTTTGGTTAACTTACAAACCATTTGTATTTTACGTAAACCGATTCGATGCCACATTAATATAAAAATAGCTTATTTATTTACACCCATATCCTCATTTCTAACCAACTATTTACTCTTTCATAGCTTTAACGATCATATAAAATAGCGATGTCATACCTAATACATAAATAAAAATACCTAACACCAATAAAACAACTATGTGAAGAAGGTCCATCTACCATCCACATGCAAGATGCACTCGGTGAGAAGGTCCTTTAATAGTTAGCTCGCATGTAAACATCACCATTATTCTTCACCTTTTGTCCCTACATCACAAGAACCCGGTGAGCAATTGCTCAATAAGTTAACCATGCATGACGTATAGGTAAGTGAAATGCACACGAAATATTATTTACATGTTCTTTGCGAAATCATTTTTTGTGTGATGAAATCTTTTCCATGATCATTCTAAAAATGTTTTTTTTATGCTTGGATGTTCTATCTTCGGACTTCGGGGTTTCCATGATCTATCTTATAAATTAGACTTATATGTGGACGAGCCTTATCGATTATATAAAAGTGCACGTCTACACCCACTTGACCCATGGAAACCATGAAACATGAACCATGAAAGTCATGGAAACCATGAAGTCCTTTCCTTGAAACCTTGCAATCCATGAACTATGTCGACCATGAAAAACCATGTAAACCATGAAATATTTTCCAATTGCCTTTCAAAAAAACCTTAAAGGAAATATCTTTCATGACTTTAAATCTTCATGTGAATTGGCATGCACTTGCATTTAATGTAAATGCATAATTCTCATGTACCACATAAGGCATGCCATACATAACGCATATTTATACATTAACATAACCCCCATAATGTAATAAAATGCACCATAACCACATTACCCTAAAATTCATGTTCAATCATTCATAGTACACAATTCTATCATAAATTATCGACATGAATCATCATAAAATGGCATATTTGACATCATCGATCAAATAACGAGTACATGGTACCAAGCATTCAACCGAGTGATCCGATAAAAAAAGATATACGAAACGTCTTGGGTTATCTTTTTCTTTTTCAAAAACCAAGATCGGAGAACAAACCTTTGAGAGGTGGTCTAATAAATAAAGATATACAAACGAGCTTTGGCTGAATTTTTTTTTTTAAAAAAAGCAAGATTGAAGAAATAAAATTTCAATATGGATCCAATTGAAAAAGATATACAAACGACCTTGGTTGATTTTTTTTTTTATTGAAAACTAAGATTGGAGAAATGAACCTTTAATAGGTGATTCGATAAAAAAAAACATATCTAAATCGCTTTGGGTGATCTTTTTTTAGAGAAACGAGATTAAAAAAACAAACCTTTGACAAGTAATCTATTAAAAAAAGGTATATGAACCACTTTATTTGAGTTGATTTGATATATTCATACAATATATTAACGAAACTAATTGTAATGGTTAGTTCTTACCGTAGAAGCATAGGCTACACTTTGAAAGCTCAACTTTGCTTTATCGATTTGCTATTAAGGAAGCTCGAATATGAACTATTCTATATTATCGGCTTTTGGTTTGTTTGATATAACTCTATTACCTCCCGGTTTAATTGTTTCGGTGCTTTGACTAATGCTTAAATACTTATTGTTTAGGTCCTAACCATATCGAGTTGACTTTATAATGTCACTATTCAACCAATTGTCAAATTTGGTTCAAGTTGTTAGATCCTTGGCCTTGCCCCCCCCCCTAGTGTTTTCAATTTTGAGGATTGCCATTCGGATCAAGTCATCGAGATGACCCTAAATGTGGAATAAGATCATATATTAATCTATGCAAAATTAATCAAAATCAACAAATTAACCAAATAATTAACAAAAATAATAATAATTTAACTAATTAATCAACAAATTAACAATTAATCAAATTTAACCTCATTAATTAATTAAACCTAAATCAAATCAATCAATTAATTTAAATTAATCTAATTAAATCAAATCAACCGATTGATTAAAATTAAACTAATTAATTAATTAAACCTAAATCAAACTAACGAGTTAATCAAATTTAATCTAATTAATTAATTAAACCAAAATCAAATCAATCAATTAATAAAAATTAACCTAATAAATTAATTCAATGTGAATTAAACTAATAATTAATCAAATTTAACCTAATTAATTAATGAAATCTAATTCAAATCAATCAATTAATCAAAATTAACCTAATTAATTAATTAAACCTAAATCAAACTAACAATTAATTAACAAAAAATAAAAATTTAACAAATTAACAATTAATCAAATTAAACCTAATTAATTAATTAAACCAAAATGAAATCAATCAATTACTCAAAATTAGCCTCGATTAGTTAATTAAACCTAAATCAAACTAACAATTAACCAAATTTACCCCAATTAATTAATTAAACCAAAATCAAATCAATCAATTAATCAAAATTAACCAAATTAATTAATTAAACATAAATCAAACAAATAATTAATTAACAAATTAACCTAACAATTAATAAAAAGTAATATTTTAACAAATTAATCAACAAATTAATAATCAATCAAATCTAACCTAATTAATTAATTAATTAAACCTAAATCAAATCAACCAATTAATCAAAATTAACCTAATTAATTAATTAAACCCAAAATAACAATTAATTCACAAACTAACCTAACAATTAACAAAAAATAATGACTTAACAAATTAATAATTAAAACTATAAAAAAATATAAATCAACCAGTTAAATTTAAAATTAACCTAATAATTATAAAAATAATTAACTTTTAAGGAACAAAAGAGAGAGAACTTACCTAATTCGAACTTGAGGATAAGGAGATGAAGGAAGGAAAATAATGGTTTTCTTTTTTTCTTTTTTTCTTTTTTTATCTTTTTTAGGAAGAAAAGAGTTTGGAGTGAGTGTAGATTGATGGAGAGTGGAGGATTGCATTTTTTGATGGTTTTGGGTAGGGTAAAAGTCGATGGCACAAAAAGAGAACTTGGAAGAAGAAGAAGATAGGGGAACAAAAAAAGGAAAGAAGGTTTTAATTAGGGATTCGGACTAGCAATGGACATGATCTCATCATTGGTTTGAATCCCTAATTAAACCCCTAGTTTCTTTCGAACGTAAGTGTCATCGTTAATCTTTCATAAAATGGATAGCTATTTAATTCAAGAACGTCGTCCATTTTTTTATAACCAACGAACAAAAACGTTTTCATCATCGATTAGTTGTTATTTAGCAACTAAAATTAAGTTTTCATTGCTATTCCATCGTCAAATAAACTACTTTTTTATTCTAAAAAACCACCCATTTTTTTAGGTTTAACGATTGATTTAGTCTTTTAGCGACAAAATATCCGTCGCTAAAGCAAAACATCAAAAATAACAATGGAATAATAACCCATCGTTGATTTCTGCCGCTAACCCATCTTTAAAAAACTAAAAAAGATTTTGGCACTACATATAATGATGGAATATCATCCGTTATTGATAAACTTTCACAAACCGTCTCTATTCTATCACTAAATCAAACACATAATATTCGATATCTATTTACTCACTATTTAGTGCCGGATAGTAATCTACCACTAAAATCGGTTGCTATTTTCCATTTTTTATTTTTTTTAGTGTGAGTCTACTATTCATAGGAAGAGAGTCGCTTTTCAACAAGTGTGGCGTTATTAATTCTCCAGCTTTGCTGGTGCGAAAGGAGGCTTATTTTGCATCCTTGGTTGATCGAGTATTGATGTTTTCTTTTGGCCTCTATAATATCGATAAGCAGATTGATGCCCGTTATATATCGAGCAGGCCTTTCAGAGAATGAAATCTTTCAAATGATTGATTACTTATTCCTCATAATTATTCCTTGCATCATAAAGATTTGCACTCTTTTACTGGATAATTTTGTTCAAATTCTTCTAATTAAGACAGATACAAAATAACCTGCAGCACCATATAGGCCAAATATCTATTATTACTAGATTTTGATTTCTGGTTGCAGACGAAGATGACTTCAATAAGATAAAAGTCACGTCTGAAACATACATCTAATCCATTTTAATAACTGCAAACCACATGTTACATTATACTTTAGATTGTACTCTCAAAAGCACAAATTATTGGAATTTATCATCTCACATTACTTGTTTACCAACTCTACCAAAGTTTCGAAATTTTTGGTAGAGCTACCATTTGATTCCACAGCATCCAAAACAAGACCTTGGAGGTATTCAAGTTTCTTTCTCATTTTGTACCCTTCATCGGTTGACAAGATAAGCTTCAACGCTTTCATAACTACTTGTTTAGTGATCCTTCCACCTTCCATCCCGATACCAGTACCCCATACTGCCTCTACCTTCCTCTTGCTCATTGTTTGATCCCCAAAGAATGGCATGCAAATCATAGGCACACATCCAATAATACTTTCCAAGACCGAGTTCCACCCACAATGGGTCATAAACACTCCAGTTGCTTTGTTTTGCAAGACTTTAGCCTGCGGAGTCCATGAAACTACTTTTCCCCTCTCTTTAGTCCTCTCTAAGAACCCTTTCGGCAGTTCTTCTTCAGGATTGCCTCTAAATGACCAAAGAAATGGCAACTTGCATTCCTCTAGCGCTTCTGCTAACTCTGGAAACTCTTGGGGTGGTAGCTTTATCACACTTCCAAAACTAATATACACCACCGATCCTTGTTTCTGCTTGTCCAGCCACTCCAGGCAACCCTGTGAATCAGACATGAAAGGATCTGGAGATGCCAAAGCAAAGGGACCAATGTAGAGAAACTTGGGAAGTCTTGACTTGAACAGATTCGCTACATCAGGGTCTAATTCTTCAAATGAGTTTAAAGCAACAGCAGCCGCCCGTGGTAATGTTAATCCCATTTTATGCAACATTGCTGAGAATTCTGATCCATTGCTGTCCGAGATTATATTTTCAGGTATGTCAGCAATATGTATTTGAGAAAATCCTGGAAGAAAGTCAACTAATTGTTCTGTCTTCGATTCTGCAATAAGATTATGAATAATTTATCAGACTATAAAGCATATGGATAGATAATGATTTGTTTCGGACATTCTTGCTCAAAGTCTTTGATAGCTGATCTAGATCATGTACAGTTAACAGCAAAAATTGGTAGTTCCATTTTGTTCCATTAATGTTGCTACGCGCTTAAATTTACTTGTCAATAACTATGAAAAAGCAATTCTTAATTGATGCTTAGCATTACAGCTCCATATCAAATGACAGGTTACCATTTTCATCTAATCTCAGTGTCAATATCCTCATTAACGATTCATGCCGGCTACATGTTTCCTTGCATAAGAGGAAATTAATCCAATGCAACCGAGAATGAAATTGTGGGAAATAACATATATAACTAGCATGAGGTTTTTTGTTAGGTGCCCATAACTAGCTTGAGTTAAAATGCCCCATGTCTAATTTGAGGAAAATCCAATTCCAAGTTTAATTATATTTTTCCCAAAATTGGTGTCTTCATTGTGATTTTTCTTTCTTTTTCTCGTACTACATGGGTGTTCTCTATGGTCCACTTTACCAAAAAGAAATATGTCCAGACAAACATGCAAAAAATTTCAGTGAATGTTGTGCCTAATGGTAGTGCGTACTTCTTGACTATTATAATAGAAATTTTAAATTATATATAGAGTAACTAACAATATTTATTTTTTAAGATTTATTTCGACGAGAGAGTCTGATATAAAGAATAAAAAAAAACATCTAAATGTACAAAAATATTTCTATTTAAATTCAAATTTTTTATTATTTAATTTTTTCTTTTATTTCTTTTTATTCTTTATATTTGAGTTTCTATTCTTTATATATATCTCTTTTATCAAACTGAAATATAAAATAAGTATGATTAGTTATTTCATGAATAATATGAAATTTCTATGGATCCATCCGTTGATGCTCACTTAACTCTGTAGCCACAATTTAGGTAGCCACATTTTAGGCTTTCTTAGAGCTAAATAATTGCAAAACCACGAAATTAAATAATAAAAAATAAGAAACTTCTATTACTTATAAAATTTTAATAATGACAGGTTTTTGTCATCAACGACAGGTTTATAATCAAATTAACTTGATAACGAGACAACCAAAACTAAATAGAAAGTAGAACTTTAAAATTTATTGACCAGTTTTAGTAAAGAGAATAAATTCACTTGAAGCAAGGCAGTTCAGGTTCAGCAAATAAATAATATCATATCTATCTCCAACTATTTTATGATATACTTCCCTCAAACCAATCGAATAGGGTCTTGAAACAGAAAATCGTACTTCTCGGTGGATTCTTTTACTTTTCCTTACTTACTCCTACGAAAGATTTTTCTTTGACCTAGCAAAGCAGTGTTCAAAGCGTAATAATCATGCCTCTTATCTACAATTGAGAAAAAATTGAGTTGTATTATTTATTTCTTTCTTTCTTTTTTTTAACATAATTTGTTGTATTTCAAATTTCATTATCCATTTTAAAATTTGAATCAGATCAGAGGAAAAAAAATAAAAATGAATTAAAATTGTTATTATGTACTAGATTTAGCAACATGAAAATATTTCAATCCGAAAAAAAATCATAATATCGGAACCAAATTAAACTCATAATAAGTCTTGTATATGAAAATATAAAACCTTATCATTAATAATGCATCCTATTTTCTGGCGGACTAAATCGATTTCAAGGACCAAGAGGAGGGAACGGGGTCCTGAGGTCCAAAGGGGCACCCAAGGGACATGCAATTCCTGAGCCATATCCGCTGCAAACCAAAGAAATGCATCACTCATGATGCACGTAAAATCCTTTCCTGTCTCTTTCACCGCCACTTCCATTGCTTGCTTAAAATTCCCCGGGGACGCCTTTTGAAAAATAATCAATTATTTCCGCGAGATTCCCAGAAAAGATGTAGGTCTCAGGCAAACCATCTTAAACATTGTAGGGTTTTATGTTTTCCAACCTGTCTAATTCACTGGAGAAGAGTTTGATATTTGATTTCTTTGTGCTGAAGAATGAAAACTTTGCATATGAAGCAGTAGCAGATAGCCTCGTAACGAGACTCAGAAGTGGAGGGCCATGAGTGGCAAAGGGAAATGCTAGCACAGCAATGTGTTTCAAGTCATTTCTGGTTTCTGTCATGATTAATTTGGGAATCATGTGAGAGAGGGAATAAATTGACACATATATATAGTAACTTTTTGAAGGGTACGGTGTTCATTTGTCTAATTGTTGGGGCCGCGTGGTCCTGCTGTTGAAAGGTAAGAACAAAGAGATGGTAGTTGATTTTTAATGCCCATGTACTATAGGTAGAAGTACAGAAGTTTCTTGAATAAATCATTCACTTCAGTAGAAAGAAAGTTAAAAGAATTGACTTTTTTCGGGTAATATGTACCAACATCCATGTAGTACAGGTAAAAATACAAACAGTTGTTGAATAAATTATTCAATTCAATACACGGTAAGTTGAAAAAAAAATGGTAGTTGTCTAGTTGACTTTTTAAGGTTAATCTACATAAGCATATGTAAAAATACAAACGGTTCTTCAATAAATTATTCCATTCTGATAGTTCGTAAATAAAATTAGAAATAAAATTATGCTAAAATTTTATTAACATAATACAAGCATTTTGTTAAAATTTCATCCATAATCTATCTCAATATTATTAGTACAAATTCATCTTTAAATTCTAAAAACATCATTCATCATCATTTAGCATTCATAAATAACTTCAACTTTTCTCGTTCCTACTTAGTTACTAAACAATAGTTTTCAACATTTAAAAACATAACCTACTTACACTAATATTCATAAAAGCATTCATAAAACTTAAACAATTATACATAAACTTATATTCATTCATTAAAACATAACATATTTATTATTTTTTAGAGACATTCAAAGGCAAGCACATGAGTCATTTATCATTGCCTAATGATAGAGATTCCGCCTCGAGGACACATGTTTTAGAGTGCAAAACCACTTTTAGTTACATTCAAAAGCTGAATCGAGTTTTCCTCATATCTCCTAATTAAAGTACGAATTAAGGTTTGACATAGATCTCTTCGAACCATTCATAAACCACAACATATCATCTATATAAAACAAGCCGTAAATAGACAAAGCCTCTCACTACAACAAAACATAGGATTAGAAATGGTTTAGAAAACTATCCCTAAAGTCAAAGAATTCATGATGATTTGATAAGACTCTCACGAATTTTGTTAAATTTTGGGTTTTTAGCAAAGGTTTCGAAAACCATCTCTAAAAACACATAAATTCACGAAGGTTTTATAAAAATCTCACAAAAGTGGTCGATTTCGTGACGGTCCGGTTAAACAATCACGGATCCCACTTTGTTTCAGCTTTTTGGTGACGATTCCTCGAAACCATTGCTAAATAACCCTTTTTGGGTGAATTTAGCAATGGCTTTAGTAAACCATTGCTAAATTTTCCAAAAAACTCAAACGGATACTTTTGAAGAATTCAAGCAATAGTATACTTAAATCATCACAAATCAAACAAAATTTTAATGTTTTTGGTGATAGTTTTGAGAAACTATCACCAAATAACCCTTTTGGATGAATTTAGCAACGGTTTTAGCAAACCACCGCTAAATTTATCAAAAAAATCTAATGGATATTTTTAGAGAATTTAGCAATGGTATACTTACACGATCACGAGATCAAATAAATTAGGATGGAAAAGTGAATGTTTGAATGGACTTTGCATTAAAAAAATTATCATACGTTAGTATTGAATGGTAACAACATTACAATGACATATTAGGGTGACCATTGTCTTTTCCAGTCGTGTAATTAACCTACTTAGTCATAACTTTTAGACTCGGTTTTCTAGTTATTTTTTCTTAGTTTTGACTTTAGGAAAAATGAGTGGTGAGTCTACTTATCAAACACATTTTATTTTTAGTGATCGTTAAGAGGTCACCATATGATAAAAAGATGACTCTACTAGAGACTAAGGGGTGAACCCATTGTTTCTTTTCTTTGGGAATTATGTGTGTTGTTATATGTAATTTCTATCTTTTCTATTATGGTTCATGGTTGTTTTATCTTTTTTTGTTCTTGCATATTGGTTGTTTTGCATGTTGAGTGTGAGATTCAAATTATGCTCCCGCACACAACTCACTAAACATGACAACCATTCCGTTTCATGGTTGTTTTATCTTGCTTTGTTCTTACATATTGGTTGTTTTGCAAGTTGGATGTGAGATTAGTATAATGCTCCCGCACACACCTCACTCAATATGACAACCACACGTTTAGTTAGGTCATTCTCCGATATACCGATTATGTCAAGATTTAAACTAGATATGATATTGGATTGATGAGAATCCTAACGCCGGAGTTCGACGATTGATCTAATATGATGTCACAAATAAAATAAAATAAAATAATAATTGGGCATAGGAAATAAAACTTGGAATTTTGACTTAGGATCAATTTTGGCAAAATAGAAATTTTTAAGAGATAAATTATAGAACTAAACTAAAAAGGTTACCTTTTTTAGGAACTCATACTTTTGAGTGATTGATATCTTTTTAAAGGCATATAACTAACCCTTATCATAAAATCTATGAACTAGTGTCAATTTATGTTCCTAGTTACCTTTACTACTCTGAAATTAATAATAACTCACATCTTCAAACAAACAAAATTTTTAACAAATCTCAACTTAAATTTTCGAGAGGCCCACGAACGTCGAATGGTAACAAAAAATATCACTTGCAAACCAATGTGAACATTCTAGGGTTTTATGTTTTCCAACCTTTCTAATGCATTCGAGAAGAGTTTGCTATTGGATTCTTTTGTGTTGAAGAATGAAATGCATATGAAGCAAGTAAACGAGATAGCCTCGTAATGAGACTAAGAAGTGGAGGGGCCAAGAGTGGCAAAGGTGAATGCTACCATAGCAATGTGTTTCAAGTCATTTCTTGCTTCTATCATGATTAATTTGGAAATCATGTGAAAGAGGAAATAAATTGGCACATGTATATAATACCTTTCGAAAGGTGTTCAATTTGTCTAATTGTTAGGGGTTGTCTTGATGTTGAAGGGAAAAACAAAGAGATGGTAGTTGTGTAGTTGATTTCTTAAAGGTAACATGTACAAGTATCCATGTACTATAGGTAAAAATACAAACGGACATCCTTCATAAATTATTCAATTCAATACACGAGAAGTTAAAAAATGAAAAAAAGAAGAAAAAAGGGATGATAGTTGTTTGGTTGTCTTTTTAAGGGTGATATATACAAGTATAGGTAAAAATACGGACGGTTCTTGAATAAATTATTAAGTTTAAATAGTTCATAAATAATATTGAGAATAAAATTATGTATTCTTAAATGGAGTTTTGTTTTTATCCAATTTGAATTAAGTAAAATCACATTTTAGCACAGAACACCCTAACGTATTTAATAAAAAATGCAATTTGCGTTGAATAATATATTTGTAATTTAACCCATAATATAGGAAAGGTCGACACATTTTACCTTAAACAGTTGGATAGAACCCTAACGCCACTTAACAAAATGACTAATTTTTACCCTTATTTTTTTTTTCTAAAAACTATTTGTATTGAACAATTTGTTAAGGGATTCTTTACATGTTGACCAATAGTATAAGGATCTCAATACATTTTACCCATTTTTTAATTCGACTAAAGGGATAAATTTGGTTTAGTTTATATAGGGGTGTTCATTTGGCTTTTCAGTTTGGTTTTGCTAAAGAACATATCCCACATTAAATAGTGATATAAAAAATGAATAATATATAAGGTCTCAAATGCACCACCCATCATAGAGCTTAAGTTTTTTTTTTTTTATAAAATTCAATTTCAACTATCTAACTCTATATGGTACCAAATGGTCAAGAATTCAAATCTCACTACCTCTATTTACTCTTCTAGTTAAATAATTAATTACAAGGTAGTAGTGAGCATGAGCAAGTTTTAAGATCAATGGGCTTTCACTTAAAGAGGTTTCAAGTCCAAAAGTCTTTCACTTGATAAGGTGTGTTAAAGAGTAATATAAAATCATTTCGGAGTCTCACCCAATACCTTAAGTTTTTAGATTGAAACAATTCTTTAACATGATATTACAACATCAAAGAGAACCAACGACCTAACAAAGATCGTAGAGTCCAAACCACTTGACAAACTCCAAAAAAGAGAATGTAAGTGAGAGAGAGTGTTAAAAAATATATTCTATATTAAATAGTCAAAGATGAATAATATATTGAACTATAAAGATTAAGTCTTTTGCTTGAAACTCAATATCAACCGCTTAACTTTATAGGTTTGCACTATTTTACTTTAGTTTTCGACCAAACTATCATAAATAAAACCAAAATCGAAACAAATTAGAATTTGGTTTTTCAATTAAGAAACAAAAATTTTAGTTTTGGTTTTCAGTTTTTTTATTTAAACCAAAATTTTATTTTTTATTTTCTTTTCAGATTTTTTTCCAACTTTTTGATATTTAAAAAAAAATGATTACGGATATTTACTCCGAATAGTACCGAAAATCCTATTATTCTTTTCTCTTATAAATTCAAAGCTTTAATCAAATCTTACTTTCAAGCATTAGAGATGCTTTGATTCTATAGGCTAAATGTCTCTGAAAACTTGGTTGGTAATGGCACATTCCATTTTAGAATGCTGGATTACTTGGAAAATATCGTCTATTGCCCTGATATTGATGTATATCATAGCCATACAAGAAGATATTATGCCATTTGATGGTGACCCATGAATCTTCCTTTGGTTTCATGAACTAATTAATATCATTGATAAAACATAGTCAGCCAAACTTGCCATTTACCATCTTACCAACATCAACACCATTAGGTACTAAAACCATGTTCCAAGGTAAAATATCAACCATCTTACCATAAGGTCATTCAACATCAACGCCGCTCATTAAACTCTAGCAATTAATAACTCTTAAAACTAAACTAATTTACAATCCATTTGGCATACATAATTAAAATGCACTCTATTTACTTCCAAGTTTGGGCAATTGCATTTCTTTTAAAGAAAACAAACACCTTATTAACTTAAATAATATATCAAAATATTAAAGTTTGAAAAATTAATATATCAAGCAAATAAAATTTTAAAAAAAATTTACTTATATTATCCAAAAGTCCAAAACACATCAATCATATATCTATCATCATTGGCTCTAACAAAAGTTTTGTTAAATATGAAAAATATAAGGTAAAAAAATAATCAACACTTTAACATTACTATAGAGGAAAGAAATGACAAATGAAAAGATAGAGTTACAAAAATTACCGGCTTCAACATTAGTCTTTTCAAATTACGACATCTACATAAAGAATTATACAATTAAACTACTAACCCAAGCATTAAGTCCTATTCATGAAATTAAAATGTAAAAAATAATATAGATGATATCACAGATTCATAGTAACAAAGTACAGTTTAAAAGTTTATTCATGAATTCACATATTAAAATTTTATTATTATGTAGACAGCATCACTGTATCACATATTCACAAACAAAGAATAATATTTTAAATTGACTATACTCGTTTACTTGGCAATCCCCAATTTATCAACATTCTCAGTCAATTAATGAAACCTTAAATAAATCTAAGTACCTATAATTAACTATTATTGCACCACCAATAGTGTCACACTACCACATCCAAATCACAATAACCATTAATTAATTAAACCCTAATAATTCTAAATTAAACTGAAAGTAAACCATATTTATCAGCGATTTTTATCTTGCATGGAGATGAAAGAACTAGTGGTTGGTGGCTTGTATGGTGGCTGGTGGAGCTTGCTTTAAGTTTTGGCCTTTTTGAGTTTTAGTAAAGAGTTAGACTATGAGAAAGAAAGGGAATGGAAGACGTGTTTGTGATTTTGTAGGAGAAAATGAGCAGTTTGTCTATGACTATGGGAGAAGAAGAAAGAGAAAGAGGTGAGGGGTCTGTCTCTAGAAGAAAAGAAATGGTGCCTGCTAATACTAAAAGTGACAGTTAGGTTTTGGGATTTGTTTTAATTTACCTTTATATATAAATAAAAGGGTTAATACATTTACATGTCTTTATATAATAGGTTAATTTTCCAATATATTTCTAAAAAACACGTATAATTTATCCTTATATTTTGAGATAATTTCTAATCTATTATTTTAGTTAAAATTTCTAGCTAAATTAAGCATATGATTGATATATGGCATGTGATTTGACAAATATATCTTTGTTATTTGGCATAAGAAATCTATATCTACTAATATAAAGATTAATCTTTAAAAATTGATTAGAAATTTTGACCAGAATGATATATTAGAAACCAACTCAAAATATACGGACAAATAGGAGGTGTTTTTTTCGGCACATAATGAAAAATTGGACTATTATATAAGGACGAGTGATGGTATAAATCCTAAATAAAATTAAGTTTTTGGTTTAAACTAAATACAAAATCTCAAAAACTAAATTGAAACTGAAAAACTAAAAAATTTTGGTTTGATTGTTTTTACATATTTAATTTTTAAGTTAAACCAAAATTGATATTTTGGTTTGTTTCAATTCTATTTTTCAGCTTAAATTAAATAATGAACACCTACAGTTTAATCAAGCGATAGAGTTTTTTTTTTTTTTTTTTTTTAGCTTTGACTACTATGTTGGTTGACGTTATAAATTAATCAATATAAATATCTATCTTCAAATATATGGAAAACTTGTTTAATACTTAGAGCATAATCTGTGAGAAGAAGATAACTACTTCACGATCAAGTAGAATTGTAGATCCCTCCAGTAACTTGGAGACAATAGGTCCAAATAAACATGAATTAGTAAACTAATCCTATAAAAACAATAATTGTCTACATAAAACATAACATAATAGTGTTACATTTATCTAGGAAGACTAAATTAAGATAGAAAATACAAAGTTTATATCAATTGTTTAAACCGTAAAGGTCCAAATTAGTTTTGAATAATTAAGTTTATATTGAGAAGTAAACATGTGAATTTACATCAAATAATTTGTTAGTAAGCTTGAGATTTACGTCAAATAAATTATGAACTTTACATCGAGTGATAAATTATAGAGATTTATAAAAATAAACTGTAGAAAATTAACATTGATCGAAGTTTGCAAAACTTTTTTTTTAAAAAAAAAAGCATTAAATCACTTGGGAAAGAAAGTAATTAAATTAACTTGAAACAACTAAAGAAATCATGTAAAAAAAGTGATATATACAGCAATAAAGAAAGCATGTAAACAATGTCATAATTAAAGTATAAAGGTAAAGCACAAAGTAAATTGTCATAAATAAATCGCACGAAAATTTTAAGAAAGCATGTATTGAAATTGAGTCTCGAAACTAACCAAAGAAAATACAATGAATTATACTCATATACACACTAATCTAAGATCTACACTTACTTGCAATACAAGTAAAGAAATTAAACCAACCTACAAGTTGGTCCCTAATCGACACTCGGTGTGTCCATATAGATTCAAGGTTGCTAGATTATTTGGAAGGGCTAAAATAGTTATTCTTTATTTATTTTATTTGGCTATTTATATATCCTTTTTGCACAAGGATTCTTTATCATAATTGGATTTTATTTTAGGATTTACTCGGGTTTGGATCCGTATTTAATTAGGAGTTCATTTTTATTGTGGATCCATAATTAAATAGGAATCCATAATTATTTAGAAAGTTCATGTTTAAGTTGGACTAGATTAATTAATCCTTATTACATTTGGATTGCTCTTTTAAATTATTTAAGTCCAAATTACTTTAGAAAGTTTATTTGGAGTCTTTTTCTTTATTAGAGTTCTTTTCCTATTTGAACATCAAATAGAATTTTTACGAGCTAATAGTTAAGAAAAATTTTTACTATTATTTTTGTAAGTTTGTCGAATATTTTAGAATAAAATTGGAGGAGAATTTTCTCTTTTCTTTGTGCCTTTTTGGACTAGAGCCTTATAATCATATACTTAGAGTGATAAACTAAAATAGGGTTCATGATCAAACGCATTCAAGCTACTTGTGGTGGTGTCATATGTATCCACAAACTTCCCGGCATACATATCCCATACGTTCTACTCGATTTTATTCGAGATGGTGGAATCCATCATTAAAGGGAATTATTGGACTTGTATTATTTTATTTTAATTATTAGATTGGTTAAGATTGAAATTCAAGATTACCTAGGACTCGAATAGTTTAGGCTTACATAGCTTGTATAGCTAGAGTTATTTGTTTAAGTTGAAATTTTATCATTCATATTGCTTAGGCCTTATTAGGTCATATTTAAAAATCAGAAAAAATCTAAAAAGAGAAAGGGTAATTTCAAATTTATTAAAGTTTTTCAAAAATCATGGTTTGTTGGGATTAGTTGGTTTGGTCTTGTAGGGTTATCTAATTTACATATTTACTTAAGATGTGTTTATAGAAATTTTAGGGTTAATTTGTGGCATAATTATTTCGGGGTAAATCAAGAGTCTCGCAGCTTTTTTTTTAAGTCGGGTTTTTTTTTAACAAAAAAAAAATAACAAATTAGTCTTGCTTCTTTAAAGTAAAAATGTAGAAATGAAGAAGTTCTATTGTTAACCTAATGTGTTCTAAATATATAACTCTATAGGCTATTTATACACGTGTATAGATAGATATGACATCCCACAAGTTTTATTTGGGATTGTTTTCAAAATTCATTACGACTTGTGATTGAATAGAACTTCGGGTTCTATGCCGAAACTTTTAAACTTATTTTCTATTAGTTATCAAAAGATTTTGAACTTGAGCTCTCATGAAAGTTGTATGTCTAGATTTCATATATTTTTAATCATCTTATTTTGATATGTATAACTCTAGATATGATCTAAACACTTATTAGTGTTCGAATTGTCATATGACCCGAATTCTAACATGACATTACAACCGACTTTGTCGATCAAAAACAGATTGAATTTATGAGTTTAAACCCAATCTAGAAAACTTAATATGCCCGCTTTAAATTTTCGGAAGGGCTATTTCACATTATGAAGCTTTAAGAATGTCAAGCTTTCATATCTTTATTTAAAGGTCAATATGCATGAGTGAAATTTTGCCTTAGTTACCTCACTTTTGTTCCTTAGTCTCAAATCTTCTCCTAAATCATAAAAATAAACGCTATTCAGCTCTTATAATCTTAAATCATACTCAAACGATGAAATATAAAATGATAATTATAATTAATAATGCCTATTATCGTGTTCACTTAAGCCCATTGGTTGTTTTTTTACAAAACGACCATCTCTAACTAGAACGATCTAACATCTACTCACAACCTAGTAATCCTAGTCTAAAAAGAAATGAACTTGAAGATTTGCAACAATAAACTAGCAAGAAACATGTAAAATAAAGACTCTTAACAAGGTCGAAAACATAAGGAAATAGCCTTATTTAGTAGCAAAATCAATCAATGAGTAGTTAGTAGAAGAATAACATAATTCTAGTATAAATAAAGGCATAGTTTAGATAGTTATAATGAACATGAGAGATTTTAACATGAGAATAATACAACATAATTAGGAACGTAATGCATTATGGTGTAAGAAAAGAAGATGAAAGAAGAATATTAAGTAATACAAAGACATGAAAAAGTGTAAAAAAAAGGTGGTTCAAGTATAGGGATCGTACAGGAATAAGAATCATATAAATACCAACCGCATCATAAGAAAAACACAACAATACAACATAAGCAAAACTTTTGCAAATTATAATTAGCTTAGAAACACATTTTCAAGTTTTAATACATTTGAAACTTGCTAGGTTATACCTAGTAGATAATAATTTATAGGCACTAATGTGTAGGCAGTAATTTATAAGTAGTAATCAAGTAGACTAAT